GATGATTAAATAAAAAACTCATCATTAAGCATTTTCGTCGTCAAGCGGAATCATTGTCAAGCGGGGCACCACTGTAATGATAAATTCTGTCTATTAATCCTATTCTTTAAAAAGCTGCCAATCGTAGCAGCTCCCATCACTTTATAATAATAACTAGAGATGGGCACGAATTTAAAAATGAATTGCCGAATTCATTCCAAAATTGTGAATTGCTAATGCTCCCAACAAATACAAATCAACAAATTTTTAGTTCTTTTTCATTCATCAATTCATTTGGCTCTAAAATGGACTCCCAAGCACATACAGACACCAAAATTGTAGGGAAGCCTCCTCTGACTCTTCTCTATCATCCTGCCAAGTGTCGTTAAGATTTGGTTTCCCCAAGCCAACTGCTAAAGGGACAATTCCCGGGGGGACATTTTGTGGGTGTCTAACGTGGATACAGTATTGGAAACCCAATCTTCAATAAATTTGGAGGGATTGTAGAGGAGAGTCAGTAAAAGCTGCTCTATGATTTTGGTGTCTCTAGGTGCCTCGGGGGGACTTTCCTGGGGGGGGTGCTCAGTGTGGAAGTATAAGTTGGACCTTTGAAACCCAAATTTCACCAAATTTGCAGGGCCTGTAGAGTAGAGTCAGAGGAAGCTTCCCTGTGAAATTCGTGTCTCTAGGTGCTTGGGGGGCATTTTATAGCATTTTTTTAAAAAATCAGTTGCCAAATTGATTCATCGATCCGACAGAGCAAAATTCGTACATTTGTCATTCATCCACCTTGATGAATTGCAAATCCAAACGAATCGCCATTTTTCTGATTTGTGCCCATCTCTAATAATAACCTTAGAACCGCAGGGCTGGAAGAGACTCCTTTGAATCATCGAGTCCAGCCCCTGTTCAGGAGGCACTGGGCAGAATTGAACTCCCAACCTCTGGCTTTGCAGCCAGACACCTAAACGACTGAGCTATCCAGCCGTGTCTATACGCGTCCATTACACACGTGGTCAGGAGGAGAAAGGAAAGAAGGCTGACCATTGGGCGGCTTCCCCTTTGCAGGTGGAGGAGGTGAAGGCCCAGATGCCCACCCTTCTGGGCAGCCTGGAGGAGACCGAGGTTGGCGTCATCGTGGAGGGCATCACGGCCATCCGGAGCATCCTGAAGTTCATGCAGAGGAACGATATCGTCACTCTAGCTGATAAGCTCCTTCCCTTATTCAACAATGTAAGACGTGGGGGTCCTTCCCAGAATCTGGGGAACATCACCATTCTGGTCATTCGACTCCCCGAATCCCCCACCCAAGATGTCACATTCCGAAGCTCTGATCCTCCCAATCCAGACGGTGCCTTCCAACTTCTGCCCCAGAATATCCTTCTATCCCTATCATAATCCCTGCTCTCTTTCCATTTTCCTGTTTCCACTGGAGGAGAAAACAGCGGGCCATGGTCCTTGTCCATCCATCGGCCAGGCTGGCCAAGGCTTCTGGAGTCTAGCCAGAGGACCAAAGTCTCCACATCTCGGCTAGCCCAGAACTCGCTCTCAAGGCAGGATCTGGGAGTGGATCATGGAGAAGCTTGAGAATAGCAGGACAGTGCTCATGTACAGTGGTGCCTCGCTAGACAATGATAATCCGTTCCACTGAAATCGCAGTTCAGCGAAATCATTGTCTAGCGAAAAGCATTTCCCCATTGGAATGCACTGAAACCTGTTTAATACATTCCAGTGGGGAAGAATCGTCGTTGTCTAGCAAAGATCGGCCATAGGAAAGCCGCTTTGTGAACTGCCGATCAGCTGTTTAAATCGCTGTCTTGCAAAGCTTAGATCCTGAAAACACCTGTTTTGCAAGTGTGGAGGAAGCTGTCAACATCGTCATCTAGCGAAAATCGGTTTGCGAAGCAGGAATCAAACATTGTCCATCGAAATTCCCCCATAGGAATCACTCTTTTGCAAATCGCTATAGCGATCGCAAAAAGTCAATGTCTAGCGAAAAAACTATCATGCGGGGTAACTGTCTAGCGAGGCACCACTGTACTCAGATCTGCTCCCCTGAACATTGTGGGTTTTGGGCCAGTTCATCCATCAGTAAATTGCCCGTCCCCCTCATGGCCCATCCTTGCCTTCTCCTCCTTGGAAGGACTGGAGAGTGGCCACACTGAGAGAGCTGAGGAAGGCCTCGACTAGGAGTCGGAGCCTTCTCGGTGGTGGCCCCAGCACTTTGGAATGGAGAATTCTAAAGAACTGCTCAAAACCCAACTTTTCAAAGAAGGCTTTAAGGACATCCTTCCCCTCAGTGAGTTCGGTCTGTGACTCATGTGCCACCTTTATCGTTGAAGTTTGTCGCCAATACTTAGTTTGTTCTAGCTGGCTTCTTGATTTGTCTGTACTGTATTTTATTGGTGGGTGGGTGGGTTCCTCTTATTGTCGTTGTTTGGAAGGAGAATGGGAGTGTGGGGGTAGGGTCTCTCTTACGTTGTAAGTACACCCAGAGTAGTGGTCTTCCCTAAGTGGGGTGGTATATGAATGTTAGAAATCAAATTATTAGTCCGTGAGGGTGGAGTGTCAAGGCGGCTAGTGAAGGTCCGCTACATGGTTCGAGAGAGTTGAGTGAGGAAAGCGTTCCTTTGGGGTCAGCGCTGGAGAGAACATATGTGTGTTCCTTGTTCTCCTGTGACATCCTCCAATTAACCCACGGACGCTTTTGCACCCAATCTAAGGCATCCCAAGTAAGGCCACCTCTCTTGGTGTTGGTTTGGTTCACAGATGGATGCTAACGTCCGCCATCGCGCCATCGCCCTGTTTGCTGAGCTGCCTGGCGTGGTGAAGAAGAAGGAGAAGTACCTCATTCAGGAGCAGGTGACCCAAAGTCTGGTCCCGCTGTTGCTTCACCTCCAGGACGAGGAGCCGGAGGTGGTGAAGGTAGGAGGGTCCAGCTCCAAACAGAATCTGGCCAGGCTGTGCTGCTTAAGCCACCTCAAAAAGGTTTACAGAGGAGTGCACAGAAAGTGGTGTCTTTTCTGTAATACAGTAGGACCCTCATATCCGTGGGATCAGTATCCGCATGAAAATATTAAAAATATTAATAGGAAAAAAAAAACTACAGTATAAATATGTATTTTCATGATGTATTTACCAGAACTGGCCACTAGAGGGAGCAAGAGACCATGCTATGTATTATTGAACAATAAGAATCTATTATATTGTGTGGTCTCTAGCTCTGTCTAGTGGCCAGTTCTAGTAATACATAGCCAAAATATGTATTTCTGGATTTTTTTTTCCCTTTCACCATGCCATGTATAGCATTCACTATTATCCATGGTTTTCATTACCTGCAAAAGAGGGCGCGCTTGGAACCCATCCCCCATGGATACGGGGGTCCCACTGTAGTTTTGTAACTCCACCATGCAGATGCATCATTGTGAGGACTTCACTCTACTTTGAATTAACAATTTTCTAGTTCTTAATCCTTTAAAGAGGAGCTTGCAAATATGTGAATGCATGTTCGGAATCTGGGTAGGACTGCATTTATTCTCCTGGAATTGGGTACGTGATGGGCTTTCTCATCCAGGTGAAGTCCTTCTTTGCCTCTCTTCACCACAATTCTGAAAATCGGCCTCCATCCATCCATCATCTCTTGGAGCAGAATTTCTGGTTACCACCATCTAATATTGCACTGTTCTTAAGAGTGCCAACAATGTACAATGTGTCTGATGAAAGTGTATCCTGCTCTTAAAACCAACCTTTTAAACAGGGAAGTCTCTCCGACTGCAAGATAAAATGAGGAAGGACCAAATAGATTTCAGGAAATACCGCGGATTCAGTCGGTCCCTCTGCCTGCCTATTTGATTATGTTTGTTTGTTTGTTTACTTTAATTTACATACCACCCCATTAGCACAGGAGCACTGTTCTAGGCGGTTTATAAGCAGTGAAAACTGGTATAAAAGTACAATCGACAATACATTAAGCCCAAATAACAAATGGCATTGAACCAAATGGCACCAAATTTTGCTAGTAATAGCGGGGCATGGAGGCAGGGGGAACAGGAAGCCACACTGCACCTCCGAGCAACCTTATTGAAACGGTTGCTCCCTCTCACCTTCTGGGCCCCCACGTCCTCTCCTGTTTCCCCCTCTGTGGGGAATTTGGAAACTTAAATTTCTAAACAAAATGCATTGGGTAAGTGACTTATCGCTGCCTCAGATTACAAAAATGAAACACTGTTGGATTGTAAAGAGAGATTCGCATCTTCTCTCTGTCACCCCATCCAAAGCAGAGAAAAGCAATTTGTTAATTTGTTCATCCCCTGCCCCCAATTTATTGGTAAGTGACATAGCACTTCATTAGCTTGCTACCCAAGTGGCATAGCGCTGATTTGTTGGTGGAGACCCCTATCAGGGCTGCTTGGGTTCAGTGCCAGTGATCACACTTGCTATAAACCAAGCTAGAATGGAGAGATCCCACCCATGCTATGAGAAACCATTAGCCCTAACAGAGATCCGAAAAGGTGTTTGGGAGATCTGGATCAGGGCAGGTTGGTTCACTGTTGGCCTGTACATCATGTGGTTGCGAGACAATGGGATGAACCAGAATATCAGGCCCCTTCCAATGCCATCATTCTAGGATTCCCAAAGAAGTCCAAAATGTGAGGTCAAGCACTGCCTGATCGGTGTTGCTTCTGAGTGCTTCTTTTGACTCCCGGCTGCAGGGTTGCCAGGATGCCCTTGGCAAGTGCTTTCGATTTTTGGGGTGGTCCTTTCCCAAGAAGATCAACAGCAAGAAAGCTTGGCACGACCACCCGCAGATTGCAGAGATCCTCTGCCGGCAAATCGTAAGTTACCCTCCCTCCTCCTGGGGGGAGCAGCCCAGACCCGCCTCCTTTAGATGGGGAAGTGGGAGCAAAGCACCCCTGAAATGGCAAACGCCCCCGCCCCCCCGTGTATGAGTTTGCCTTTTGCAATTTGCAGCTTATTTTGCTCCTTTTGACTTCCCCAGTTGGGGTATATAGTTTTTAAGATTCCGGATTTGAAGTCTAATATTGCGGCCTTCGGAATGAACTTTTTAAAGATCCCCACTCCAGCTCTGAGAAAGCTCAGAGAGATCAGACTTCAAAAATCAGGCAAGCCCAAGCAGAATTGCGCTCCCCAAATCCAGGTTTCTTTGAGAACGCAGGAAAGGAAAGATCTTAGCTAGGTTGTCTTTTTCAACTTTATTTAATTATTGCCCTTTTAACTCCACCTTTCCTCGGCACTTCATTGTTGTAAGCTGCCTTCAGTCCTTTTGAGGAGAAAGGCAGGGTAGAAACATTTCAAATAATTAGTCAAATAATGAACCATAAAATAGGTTAGGCCTAAATACAGGACTGACTGATATTCGCTCAATGGCTGAGCCGGGATTTGAACTGCTTACCTTCCCTGTTCTAGTTTCACATTCTATCCATTACACCGGTGGTTCCTGATCTTGAGTCCCCTTCTGGGAGCTGCAGTTCTTGGACTGTATCTTCCAGAAGCCTTCACCCCGAGGTGTGCTGTCCAGGATGTCTGGGAGATGTAGTCCATGAACATCTGGGGACTCAAGGTTGGGAATCACGGCGCTACACCGTACCTTTTGATGCGATCTGCTGAGGTCAGCCGGTGTCCTTAGATTAGTTTCTGCTTCGGCCTTTGTGCTGTTGTGAACTCAGGACCCAGTGACTCTGGAGGAGGAAGGACCAGGCCTGAGCACCATCCCTGGAGACCCAGAAGGCTGTGACCCCGGAGGTGCCCAAACCTAGACCATAGGTTTCCCCCAAGGGGAAGAGCACATCCCCCAACGCATCACCGTTTTCCCCTTTGTCTCTTTGCTTGGCTAGTCCTGGAAAGTCAAGATGATCCCCGCAGTCTTGCTCCAGTGCTTGGACCATCTCCAGTGCCCGCAGGTTTCCATCCGGAGGGCGGCGGCCATATTTATCGGTAAGGTTGGGAAAACTTTCCCACCGCACGTTGGCTCTGTGGGTGATGAGAGTGCGAGAAGAATTCTCTGGCAAGAAAACGGCCTTTTTGCCAGGCCGTCAGAATCCGCCGGCGGCGAGTGAAAGTCCGACACCTTCGGTGGGGGCTCTGAGTTAGGGGAAAGAGCCCCATCTCCCCCTCTGAGCTTCCCCAGCCTGGAAGAAATCTGTTTGCGGGGGGAAAAGATTCTCTGAAACTCTCCAGCGGCTCAAGCGCATTTGGCACAGATCGGAGAACAGAACTGAGCTTACGTGACACACCCTGGAAAAGCCAAATCCCAATCCTCAGGGACTCCTGATCGATCGCACAACGTCAAGCCCTACGGTGGTTCAAAGCAGCCACCCGATCTGGTCCTTTTTGGCTCCGGATATTACAAACACACCCTAGTTTGGGGCAGTAGAGGACCAACGCTTTTTTCTCCTGCTGGTTGTCTGCCCATTTCCCCACCTGCCTGCCACCCGTCACATCTCAACCAAAATCATCATATCTCAATTTTTTCTCTCTCTCCTTTGTTCCTCTGTTTGCACATCTGGATGGATGTATGGTTCTTTCCTCTCTCTTTTGGAGCCTGTCATTAAAATCACACATCTGCAGATCGGCATAAAACCCTTTTTGTCAAAATAGTTTTTTAAAAAGGAGGTGGCTGGAGCAGGGCATGATGTTCCCCATCATGTGATATCCCACCCGGGGGGGCACCTGCCCACAGCCACCCACACCAGATAAAAAGACAGGGGAAAAAGCTGTGCAGCTTGCAGGTGTGTTACCTGTAGTCTCGTACCTATCTGCAATGAATACACCTGGATTAGGACTAAGGTGTGTTCCCGCCCTTCTTTGTGGCTTCTCTTCTCTGAACTCCCCACCCCCACCCCACAGAGGCTACGTTCACCCTCTCATTTTGCAAAGCTACGAATGATGCTTCTTGTCAGCTGGAAAGCCTTTTTGACAACAAGAGTGGATCGCCGAGGGAAGGGGCTCTTAATGTGTGATGCTATCCCTTTTTTAACTTTGGCTTTTCCTGCCCTGCTTCCCAAGGATTTTTAAATGGTTTCAACTAAGGAGCCAGAATCCAACCGAGTATTTGCAGTGGTGTAAGTGTAAACAGCGCAGAGTCACTGAGGAACAAGATCCTGGTTGACTTCCTAGTCACACGCCAGTTACGTGACTGGGCACGAGACCAGGAATTCAGCGGGGGACCTCTAAACGTGCAGCCGTTCAATACTCTGAGTTCCACCTCTGCATTTAAATGGCATCTTATATATTCAATTGGATGCTGGCCCGTGATTTTAATGGGGGAATATTTTGACTGGTATCTTCCTGTGGGTAGGTGGGTGGGTTATTCTCTCTCTCTCTCTCTCTCTCTCTCTCTCTCCTGAAAAGCCCACTGTAACCAGAAACAGCCCTAGCTGGAGGGTATTTTCTGGGAAACGGATGGCTTTCTTCCCTTCTGCAGGTTGTGCCACCCAGTGCACAGAGCCCGCTGCCATCACTCAAGAGAAAAGGGAGCTGATATTCCTGTGTAAGTAAGACAGTTCGGTTCTAGCGCCTACGAAGCTCATGTACCTGCATGTACGAGGGCAGGGTTCAAAGGGAAACAAGACTGCGCGCTGTGCAGATGTCAGGCCAAACCATGGTTTAAATAAGCCAGACTCTTTGCATGTTGGCAACTAACCCCAGTGTTTAAATGTGGCTTGTGCATCATGTCTATGATTTTACTTTCTCACTGTTTTAACCCAGAATGGCTGTCTCTGCCTCTGTACTTACTTCTGAGCCTCAGGGTGCAGTACTTAAACTGCAGTGCTGCAGTGAAGACTCCGCTCACCACCTCAGTTCGATCCCAGTGGGCTGGGGTAGCTGGGTTTGAGGTTCTCTCGGTCTTCCAGCCTTCTGAGGTTGGTAAATTGAGTAACCAACTTGCTCAGGGCAGGGGTGCAATGTGTTGCCTACGTAACTAAATTGTAAACTATCCAGAGAGTGCTTTAAGTGCTACGAGACAGTAAATAAGAAGCACATTTTGCTTTCTGTACACTTTGTTTTCATGTGCGATTTTTGTCCAGTGGCAAATGGCCCTACAGAGAGTGCTTTAAGTGCTATGAGACAGTAAATAAGAAGCACACTTTGCTTTCTGTTTTCATGTGCGATTTTTGTCCAGTGGAAAATGGCCCTATGAAGTTGTATGTATGTATGTATGTATGTATGTATGTATGTATGTATGTATGTATGTATGTATGTATGTATGTATGTATGTATGTATGTATGTATGTATGTATGTATGTATGTATGTATTATTTACATGTACAGTGGGCCCTCTACTTATGGAATTAATCCGTATTGGAATGGTGACTGCAGGTCGAAAAGTCTGTAGGTTGAGTCTCCATTGACCTACAATGCATTGAAAACCGATTAATCCCATAACCGGCCATTTTTGTTCCATTTTGGTGTGGGTTTTTTTGGTCTGTAGGTCAATTCTCAGGCTGCAAGTCAAACCTAAATTTTGCAGCCAGAGAAGTCTGTAACTCGAAAAGGCTGTAAGTCGAGCGGTCTGTAAGTCGAGGGTCTGCTGTATTATTTATATACATGCATACATGTATGCATGCATGTGTGCATGCTTGCATGTATGTATGTATGCATGCATGCATGCTTGCATGCATGTATTATTTATGCAAGTGTACCCATGATTATTGATACATGTCTATACCTGGGGAATCTTATTAATTCATAACAAGAGACTAAGCGTTTGTTTCTGAAAGCTAACTTTAAACTGAAAGGACGGGACGGTGCCTTTGTTAATCCCTGAGTCCCGGGTTCCAGAGTTCCCTGGAAATAGCACGTGTTCTCTGTCAAACCTCCGACCTCTTCCCTGTTCCAGCCCTCTCCAAACTGCACCGAGATCCTGACCCTTCCGTCCGCCTGGCGGCCTCACAAGCCACACAGATGGTCCAGGAAGCCTGTGGGATCCCAGTGGGCGCATCCCGAACCCAGAACCAGGAGGAGCACGAAGGCCTCCCCAGCAGAGGATTTTTGGACATCCCAGATCCTGCCCTGACTCACCGATGGAACCCAGGCTCGCCGGTCTCCCACCAGATTGTGGCCAGCAACGCCCGGCGGCGAATCTCTGGGCCGACCCGACAGGCTTGATTCCACACACCCCCAGGAATCACTTCTTCTCTCCCTCTGGAGAAATTCCCGAGTCCAGACGGACCCAAGAGTCCACCAGAGAGGTCCCAGCGGCTGGTCCCAGCGAACCGAGCTCAGTCCAGAGATGAAAACCAGCAGAAGGCGCTTGCTTGGGCAGCACTGCTGGGATTCGGCCGACCTGCTCCGTTTAGCAGGAGACACCCGCCCGCCCCTTCAGTTTTCCTCCCGCTTCCCAAAAAAAGCAGCGGAAGTTTGAGGGTCCGAGCCTCTGCAGGGTGAGTTTTCTACTGCACAGAAAATAAGTGGGAATGCTCGTTGATGTTCTTTATTTTCATGACATTTAGAACTTCCCTTCCAGCACTGACCCCCCCTCAACCCCCAAAATTCACAAAATGTCGCACGAAATAACCAATTAAAATAATAAGATCTCTTAAAGTTAGAGCAGGGGAATGATCGGAGCTCCCAGTATTCCCCGCCCAGCAAGGCCACTGAGGGGTGAACACACGTTCTGGACGGCAATTTCCAAAATCCCAGCCATGCTGCCTGGAGGATTCTGGGGGTTGTAGTCCAGAAAGGTAACTTCAAAAGCACTGAGAAACTGCCGTTTGACATCTCCTTCTATGAATGCATCGTCCTTTATCCACCTGCTCAGGTGTTAATATCATCAGAGGAGGCTTTTCTCTCGATCTTGCCATCTTTACTAGTGTGTTTGGTGGGGGCACAAGAGAGGGGCCCTCTCTGTGGCTGCTCCTTTAGACTCTGGAACTCCCTCCCACTGGAGGCCAGACGGTCCCCATCTTGGCTGTCCTTCTGCAAGCCGATGAAAGACCTTTTAGTGTGCCACCTTGGGTCCTTTTAAGGAGGAAAGCAGGCTAAACATATTTTAAATAAATAAATGAAATAAAGAGGTATAAAATCCCAAGTGCCAGCCTCTTGCCAGCCCTGTGAAGGCAGAGTCCCTCCTGCGAAACAGCAAGGCAGAACCTCCTTGTGGCTGTGACCTAACTCTGCTTCCTTTGGCTACAGATCATGAAATGTGGGATGAGCACAAACAGATGGGAAAGCTGGGAGGAGAAAGACACGAGGATCAGCCAACCAGCCCTAGGCCTTGGCCTGCAGGAAGCCTTTGGCTTTTTGGCAAATGGTATGGATGGATGGGTGGGTGTATGCATGCATGAATGGATGGATGGTTGGATGAGTGGGTGGATCTAAGGATGGCTGGATGGATAGATGGCTATGTCTGTCTGTCTATGTGTCTGTATGTCTGTCTGCTAGATGACCTGCATGCGTCCTGCTCCATCAGAGTGTGGGACCAGTGACCCTTGAGGTTTGTTCCAGCTCTACAGTCTAAGGATTCTACCTTTAAAAACCCAAAATTTAGCATCGGCTTCCCTCTTGTGGCAGATTAGAAAACAGCATGCCATCATGCCTGATCCATGAATTGCTTTAAGCGACTTTTCCGAGTTTAATTTTTTCAAACTTTTGTTTTTAGCTAAAAGAAGCTTTTTCACACCCTCCAGCAGGCAGGTGGCGGCCCTTTGGCCAGGTTTTAAAGTTTGTTTGTTTGTTTCCCTCTGTATGCAAACTTTCCTCCAATTAACGGAACCATCCAGCTGATTGAGGGCCAGGAGAGGCCCCGCTTGCAAAACCAGAAGTGGTTGTTGTGGGTTTTTTCGGGCTCTTTGGCCGTGTTCTGAAGGTGGTTCTTCCTAACATTTCGCCAGTCTCTGTGGCCATGGGCATCTTCAGAGGACAGCAACCTGTGCTCTGGTGTAGTTGGCTTGGGAGTGCTGTCATAAAGTGGTGATTATTTGAAGAATTAGAGGTACCCATTCAGACTTATAAGGCAAGCTTTCCCTCAGTGACTGGCTGTGGGGGGGGTGTTGCTGTTGCTTTCGTTTACTACTTTTTTAGTGTGGTCTTTGTTTGCTCCTTTTTAGTATTTGCATCCTAAATAAACCAGTGTTTCGCCCTGACACTGCAGCATTTTTAGTGTGGTCTTTGTTTGATCCTTTTTAGTATATGCATACTACTGCACAATGAATAAACCAGTGTTTCGCCCTGACGCTGCAGCGTTTCAGGAGCAAGTAAAGAGAGAGGCTGCCACCAAAGGTCTCTCGAAAGAGCATCCTCATCAACAGCCTCTTCGAATTAGGGAGGGAGGGAGCCCGGCATAGCTCCACTGGGAAGTGATTCCAAAAAGTTGGTGCCACCCCCGAGAAGGCCCGACTTCTCATCCAAGATTTTTCGCCTTCCTTCGGCGTGTCTACCTGGAGGAGCCTAGCCTGGGAGGATCTGGTGGCGCGGGAGGATGATCGTAGGGAGAAGCGCTCTGACAAGTATGACACGCCTCTCTTTTTCTCATTTGCACCCAGGAAGTGCCGATTCCAGGACAGGCCCGGAAGAGATGACGTGATTAGTCTCAGCCATGAGAGGGGAAAACGAAAACCTCTGCGGAAGCCGAACATTTGTAGAAGTCAATGCAGCGAGAGTGCTCATATGATCGTTTCCTATGTTAGGATATATAACGTGCAATGATGGCATACTGTATAGACATGTAACCGAGAACAATAAACCAATGGCACTGTGTTTCCTGATTTTTGCATTGTGTTGTGTTGTCATTTTTCCTTTTAGAAGTGAACATAAGTGTGCTCTGACCAGGTGCTGGACCCAGCTTCTATGGAAGCATCAGGTTTTTGAGCTGCGCCGTTCCTCGCAAGGTTTGGAGAAGTGAAATGTCCCCCTGGCCGGGTCAAGTGAGGTGATCGCCGGATGTGCAAAGATGGGATTCCTCGGCGGGCAGGTCTCGTATTCACGTGACCGAACAGGAAACTCTGTTAGAGAGACTTCATCCCTCACCCTCCCTCTGTGGACTTTCAACCCCTTGTTGTCTCCATAGAGGAATCAAAACTGGCTGCTTCTCCTGGGGGGGGTCATTCAGAGGGACCTCTGGCCTGGCTTTCATCCCCCCCCCCATTCATGCATGCAAACGGGCCCTTCTTGAAGAGGTTTATGGCTTCTCCTTGCCGTAACAAGGCAAAAAACGGTCCCCACCCTGAATTACGACACCGCACTGCGAGGCGCCATCTACTTCTTGAGGACATGGAAGACTTTCTCAGTGACGTGGGAACAAGAACATGTCTTCACAAATACATCCGGGGCTTCGACGCCACTTGTCGCTCCCGCCCTCTTCACCTTCCTTGCCCTGTGGTTCATCTGTGGCTTTTGGGAGGCTCGAGAGGAAGGGCTTATGACCCTCCCTCAGTGAAAGGAGGAGGTTGGTTACGGGGCTCAGACCAGGAGAGATCCGAACTTTACTCACTCCCTGTTTTTACGTGGTCAGTACCAGGAACATGTGATGCTGGCCATGTGGCATTTGAACCTGAGCCGATGACATTCCTGTGGGGAGTTTTTGCAACCCTGCAGGCTGCCTTTAGTACGTTTGGCTTGGAGGGACCTTTCTGGGCTGGGGCTAGGTAAAGGTAAAGGTTCCCCTTGACATTGCATCCAGTCGTGTTCGACTCTAGGGTGCAGTGCTCATCCCCGTCTCCAACCCATAGAGCTAGCGTTTGTCTGTAGACAATCTTCCGTGGTAACGTGGCCAGCGCGACTAGACACGGAACGCCGTTTACCTTCCCACTGAGGTGGTACCTATTTTTCTACTCACATTTTTGCATTTTGCATGCTTTCGAACCGCTAAGTTGGCGGGAGCTGGGACAAGTAACGGGGTTCACTCTGTCGCGTGGATTCGATCTTACGACTGCTTGGTCTTCTGACCTTGCAGCACAGAGGCTTCTGCGATTTAACCCGCAGCACCACCACATCCCTCTTATAAATAGTTTCTCCCTGGAGGCACAGTGGAGAATTAAACCCCCAGCCTCTGACTCTGCAGCCAGAGACCTAAACCACTGAGCTATCTATCCATCTAGGACTAACTAAATACAGTAGTTCCCTCTTGCCTCTGGCTTCAAAAAGGCCCGCCTCTCGGCTTTGTGTCTCTTTCCCCCTTCTTTCATCGTTAGAAGCAGTGAATCTGTCGAAGTCTATTTGCTGAAAGCAGTCACGGTTCTCAGTTTGCTGTCTGATTTGTTCAAATGTAAGTAATGAAACTTCTATTGCTTCTTATTGTCGCTTATCTCAGAACGCTGGTCGGTGGAAGGAGGTGTGTGTACCTTGTTAAGGGCTGGATGGTCCATTTTATGGAACCTTGCCTCCCATCACAGCAAAAAAGGGGGACCTCTGTTTTGGCCCGGGCGCTCCAAAACAGATGAGGAGAGGGGCTTTCTCCTGGGAATGCCACCCTAACAACTAGGGCGGATGAAGAGACTCCAAGCTGCAAAGGAGTCATTGGCCATTCCAATAAAGAGGGCTTGACTGTTTCTAAACCCGGGGAATCTGTGCTGTGCACAGAAACAAACCATTACATGCTTTACGTGGCAACAAGCCAACCTTTCATGCAGCATGGCAAGGAACTGTCTTAAGAAGTAAAGGACATCCAACTATCCTCTAATATTGTTTTGTAATTGGTAAATTACAAAGGAGCTTGCTTTTGCTTATTCATTGCTCATGCACTTTATCTGCATTTGGAAAGTGCAACTGTAACAGCCGTTAAAGTCTACCGTCTAGAGCAGTGGTGTCGAACTGTGGCCCTCCAGATGTTCTTGGCCTTCAACTCCCAGAAATCGTGGCCAGCAGAGGTGGTGGTGAAGGCTTCTGGGAGTTGAAGTCCAAGAACATCTGGAGGGCCACAGTTCGACACCACTGCTCTAGACGGTAGACTTTAACGGCTGTTACAGTTGCACTTTCCAAATGCAGATAAAGTGCATGAGCAATGAATAAGCAAAAGCAAGCTCCTTTGTAATTTACCAATTACAAAACAATATTAGAGGATAGTTGGATGTCCTTTACTTCTTAAGACAGGTCTGCTTTTAATTGCAAAGCTGTTGTCTAATCGGTTCCTTCCCTAAAGGATTGCGGATTGGAAATTTCTCCCTGATATAAGATGTATGTGTGCTTCCTTCCCCAAGTTTCCGTACCAATAGAATCTTCTGGAAAGACCCGTCTGTTCAGGGGACCATGGCACCCAGCCATGGCTGGAACTTCCCTCTCGAGTGTCAGAAGACCTGGCATGTTTTAAGCATTTCATTTATTTAGTTTAACATTGGCTTTCTCCCAGCTGTCAGAAATTCTGGACCTGCCCCCCTGTTGTATCCCTGTGTTTCCACAGGACTGTTTTATTTTTTTACTTCATCATAAAGTGCTTTGGGTTTTCTGCAAAAAAAAAATCTGTAGTTTGAAGAGGAAATATTTATAATTAGTCATCCTATGGAAGTGAAAAATATGTGTACAGAGCCCCCTGCACTGTCTGTACACAAATGGATTCTGAAGCAATGGTTCTTAAACCAGGGACTGGCAAAGCGCGGCCTTCTTTATGCTGCTGGACTACAACTCCCATCAACCCTAGGCAGAGCGGCCAAGGGTAAAGCATGCTGGGAGTTTGAAAGTCTAACAATATCTACAGAATTGGAATTTGCCTGCCTCTGTTCTTAAACCCTTGGTCCTCCAGATGCTATGAGTAGTTAGAATACCTAGGCTTCATCAAAATCACTTTTGACAGGTGTGCCGCTCCTGCGAGGCGGGACAAAGAGGAATCGACCCAGGGGCCTCCTCCTGGGTGGGCGGGGCTTTAGGGTGATGTAGGGGGTTGTTGAGGCCACCATGGGCCTATAGGAGGGGTTCTTAGACGCCAGCGTCCCCCATAACCAGAGTGGGGCCTCAGGATTGGCCCCCAAATGACGTGTTGCGTGGGACCCTGGCGTCTATAGGCCCACAGTGGCCTCAACAATGCCCTATGTCACTGCAGATAGTGACAGCAGCCACGAAATTAAAAGACACCTGCTTCTTGGGAGGAAAGCAATGACAAACCTAGACAGCATCTTAAGAAGCAGAGACATCATCTTGCCGATGAATAGTCCGCATAGTCAAAGCTATGGTTTTTCCAGTTGCGATGTATGGAAGTGAGAGCTGGACCATAAAGAAGGCTGACTGACGAAGAATTGATGCTTTTGAATTGTGGTGCTGGAGGAGACTCTTGAGAGTCCCCTGGACTGCAAGGAGAACAAACCTATCAGTTCTAAAGGAAATCAACCCTGACGGCTCACTGGAAGGACAGATCCTGAAACTGAGGCTCCAGTACTTTGGCCATCTCATGAGAAGAGAAGACTCCCTGGAAAAGACCCTGATGTTGGGAAAGTGTGAAGGCAAGAGGAGAAGGGGACGACAGAGGACGAGATGGATGGACAGGGTCATCCAAGCGACCAACATGAATTTGACCCAACTCCGGGAGGCAGTGGAAGACAGGAGGGCCTGGCATGCTCTGGTCCATGGGGTCACTAAGAGTCGGACACCACTTAACGACTAAACAACAACATTCTTGCATTTGTATTTTATTTTGTACTGACTCCACAGCTCTCTTTTATTTCTTTTTTTGGAAGTATGCAAAAAAATATAATATCTTACATTGGTAAAGCACTGGGCTCAAAGGTAGTATAAATTCAAAGCTGAGCCAGTTTCCCGGGGGCTTCTGTTTGTTAAAACAGAACAAAAACTAGACTGTTGTTCTTTTCTTTAAAGACTGATAAGGTGGGACAGAAAGACAAATACCCTCTAACGGAATGGTGTTTGCAGAGAGATTCTCACTAAGCAAATAACTTTTCTCCACGTGGGAAAGAAAGGGCTGGCTACGTCTGTGGCCTCACGAGAACAATGCATTCTCCAGTTGGAGGATTATATTGCCCCATAAAAAGGTTCGTTCTAGTATTACAGGAAGTGTTTGAAGAAGCGATAAAGTCAGCAAGACCTGCCAAGGAAGGAAAGCAAAGCGGTATGTTTGGGGCCGGTGGGGGTCCGAGCGAGGAAGGACGGATCTACCTGTTTCTTGGCATATCAATATCCTGTTGGCACATCAGGTCCCAGACATTTTATTTATCATGTTCATTTACAAGGCAAACAAAAGAAGGGATTCGTGGACTCTTATCTCTGGGAGAAATGTATTTGGGCCAATTACCAAGATGAATAAATCAGCAACTCCTGGTGCTTTGCCTTGAACCAACTTGATGGTCTGTATTTTCAGAACATTCAGTTAATTGGCCTCCTGCCTGATAAACAGGGCCTTTCATGGCATAACACTGAATCCTGTGTTTGATGTGCATGTGTTTATTCATTAAATATTGATCACAGTGGCAGGGGGATTAGGATCACGGAACCTATAAGGCTGGGCACTGCAATTCAACNTCACTGCCTCCATATCTTCCCCTTCTATTTCCCAGGAGGTGATGGGACCAGTGGCCATGATCTTAGTTTTTTTTGATGGTGGGCTTCAGACTGTTTTTTGCACTCTCCTCTTTCACCCTCATTACAAGGTTCCTTAATTCCTCCTCACTTTCTGCCACCAGAGTGGTATCATCTGCATATCGGAGGTTGTTGAGATTTCTTCCAGCAATCTTAATTCCGGCTTGGGATTCCTCCAGTCCAGCCTTTTGCATGATGTATTCTGCCTATAAGTTGAATAAGCCGGGGGACAATATACACCCTTGTCGTACTCCTTTCCCAATTTTGAACCAATCAGTTGTTCCATATCCGGTTCTAACTCTTGTTTCCTGTCCCACATATAGTTTTCTCAGGACATAGATAAGGTGGTCAGGCACACCCATTTCTTTAAGGACTTGCCATAGTTTGCTGTGGTCCACACAGTCAAAGGCTTTTGTGTAGTCAATGAAGCAGAAGTAGATGTTTTTCTGGAACTCTTTGGCTTTCTCCATAATCCAGTGTATGTTAGCAGGAGGAGTGGCCAAACCAACGGTTTGGTACGTTCTGAGAAAAAAAGAACACACTGGTGAACTGTACAGCTCAAAAAGGCTTGGACATCTCTTTCCATGGTAAAGAGAAAAATCCTTCACAACATTCAGCTAGGTGAACAACACTCTCCAGAAGGTAGGCATATCATCATCCATGTCTACCATAAATAGAAGACTTCATGAAAGCAAATACAGAGGGTTCACCACAAGGTGCAAATCATTCATAAACCTCAAGAATAGGAAGGCCACATTAGACTTTGCCAAAAAATATCTTTAAAAGCCACCCCAGTTCTGGAACAGCATTCTTTAGAAATATGAAACTAAGAGCAGTCTGTACCAGAATATTCTCCAGTCCGTGGCTCCTGTAGGATGTTCAGTGTCACTTCCATTGAGGCACAGAACACAGGTAGTAACTCTTCTTAGGCCTCTGACCATGCCTCCGACTTGTCCCCCCTCACTGCTTTCTATCTGCCTCCTAATGTAGTATCCGTTTTTCTTGACTTACTTCCACCCTCATCTTTTCCCAGGCATTTCTTTTCCCAGCTGTCGCCCCTGTCAGCTCTCTTCTTGCGGCCATCATGTGGTCCTCCATGAGATCTGAAGGCAGCCTGTCAGACATGGTGAGATATCTTTTGACAGCTCACTTTTGATTTTATACCTTCAACAGAACTGTAATATTCAAAGGATTTTTAACC